GGACAGAGTGAGACTCCAACTCAAAAAAAACAAAAAAAAACAAACAAAACCAAAAAACTCCCCTCTCTCGCCTACCTTCCCTTTTTCTCCCTGTCCTGCTGCCTGCATCCCCTCCTCCCATCTACACACATGCACACCCCCACTTGGTGAAGTCTAGACTTGGGGGCAGACTGTTATTACCTGAGGAATCATCAGAGGTGGGGCCCACATTAATCTGGACAGTTTCAAACGGGGATGTTGGATCATCTCCCAGGAGACATAGTGGGGGTGTCAATGACTCTGTCTTCACATGTAGCACTTCCCCTACTCCAAGGGCCTGGGTGAGAGTTGACGTTGATGGGCGGGGGGGAGAAAGAAGGGAAAAAAGCAAGGGAGATGTTGAGAGTAACAGCAGGAATAAAAGCTTTAGAGCTTACAAACAATGACACAATTATTTGACATTCTGGTCTGAATGATACTGAGCATCTTCCTAAGCTGTCTTTGGGCCCTTGTTCTTTCTTCCAACTTTATTCCTGGGAGGGTTGATGAAGTCTCATGATTTCAAATATGACTTTTGAGTAGACAACCTGGGTAAGAATAGTTCTCGAATTCTAAGCTGTTAACAACTCTCTTCTTCCCAGTCCCACATATCTCTGCATATTAAAAAGACTCTATCTCCACTTCTGGACAACCAAAGTGGAGATGCAGAAAACGAAAATATTAAGGAAATGGCAAAGGCAGGGAAGGAGGCACTCCCACCTCCTGACTCATAGCACACAAATCATTTCCTCAGCACCCGTGGGTAAAGGGAATGAAGCAGAGTCTCCTGCCACAGAAAGCAGACGGAGGAAGATGACTCTCTCACCTGGCTGGAGGGCTCAGTGGAGAGATGTGAGGACTCTGAACTGAGGGAGGAGGAAGAGCAGGGAGAGGATGGCTCAGACTTCACCTGAAGATCTGGAGAAAAGAGGGTTAGAAAATCATCAGGAAGCAGAGCCTAGGAAGAGTCCAAAAAATGTCCAAGGACCCCGGGGGTGGGGGACTCCTATCGGGACAAGGGGGAAGGAACACAGGGGTTAAAGGAGAGAGGAGTTCACAGGCTCTTACATGGAGGTGTGATGATACTGTAAATTACGTACTTTTTGAGAAACAGTGGGAGATGGGTTTCTGTAAAGATGAGGGAACCACAAAGACTATCTTACCTGGGAGGATAGGCAGGAGGTCCCATGGGGGCTCAGGGGGACTGGCATCCATCCCCGCGTCCAGGGAGCTGCTGTCAAACTGAATAAGGAGGATATCAGAAGACAGGAGTACGAGAAAGTAGGGGTGATTCCAGATGAGCTTTGGGCTGTGGATGAATCCAAGTTCTAGGATCACTCCCACCCACCAAGGGTTAGAGAAAGGTTGGGAGTGCAATACCGGGACATCCTGCTCCGGGCAACGGAAGAGCTGTGCATGCTCCTCGGCCACTTCATCCAAGCCAGCATACAAGGTGCTGTCTGCAAGGAGTGCTGAGTGTCGGGGGGGTCGACCGGTGGCCCAGCCTACAGATCGTCCACAAGCCCCCGCCCCATCCCTCATTGGCTCCGCTCGGCCAGACCCACCGCCCGCCCACTTGAAAAGTGATACAACCAAAGAGCTTCAGCTCCTCCTTCCCCAACCCCGGAACAACTCGCCATTCCCGTAGGGGGCGGAGGTCTCCTCCGACTCCCGCATCCCCCGAATGTACAACGAGCCCCACGTTCCGCCGTCCTTCGGATGATGGATTCCCCATTTGCCCAGCCTTCCTCTTTGAGCCTCCGCTTCCTTCCCATGTGCCGCAGGGACACAATTCGCTATAGCCCTCTCCCCTCCCCGGGGCCTCACGCCGCAGACCCCAGTCCTCCGGGTTCAGCAGGTTGTCGGTGAAGAAACGCGTCGGGTCCGCAATCTCGCTGAGGAGCATCAGCTCCGCCATCTTTTCCCCCCACCCCCCAACCCTGAGACAGCTCCCAAGGCCCGCCTCTCCCCATCATCAACTAATCAGTTGGCTCTTTAAAAAAAAAAAAAAAAAAAAAGGAGGCGTCAGGGAAGCTCTACCGACCAGTAAGGGACCTGGGTGCTGAGCACATGGGTCAATAGAAGGCTGCATAGGCGGGGCCAATGGGAGCACGGCGCAGGAAGTAGGCTCACGGTATCGGGCAGGGAAGTTGGCGCGTGCGCCAAACCTGCCCCAGTGATCGAGGGCCTGGGAAATGTAGTCCCCCGGATTTAAAGGTACTTACCCGCCCCAATCTCCCGCAGCCAGAACTAAATTTAGAAGTTTAGACAGCTTCTAGGCGTCTTCGGAAAAAGATCAGTCCCCAAAAGAGGTATACTGAGACCACTGCTACCCCCACTAGGAAGGCAAAAGCTGGGAGATGCGATAAGGGTGGAAACCCTTCCTCAGACATTACCCCCGCCCCCAAATCTCAGCACAGACCACAATTCACGGGTTCTTGTCTCTTTTAAGGTTTAACTTTTAATCAGCCAAACATCTTGCGTAGACCCTGAGCCAGCCCTGCATCCTGTTTCTTCCCCTGAATGACCACTTTCCTCAGCTCCTCCTGTGCTGCCCGGTTTTGGGGGTCTATGGCCAGCACCTTCTTAAGGTCAGCAGCTGCTTTTTCAAGATTCCCAAGGGCTGCCTGGGCAACCCCCCTTCGGTATAAGGCCTTTAAATGGTCTGGTTCCCGCTCCAGCACCCGGTCACAACTCTGGGCTGCCAACTGGGGCTGCCCTAGCAGCAACTGACAGGCAGCCAGATTGGCATGAAGGACAGTTCGTTCTGGAGGGCCAGGTGGGGGTAAAGTCAGCAGGAGCCGAAGAGCCCGTCCATAGCATCGGGCTGCCCCTTCAGGGTTCCCAGCTCGGAACAGTTCTGTGCCCCTTGCACGTTCTTCCCTAGCCAGGGCTTCCTTCTCACTGGTCTCCAGTTCCCAGGAGTCCCGGCCCTGAGTGAAGGAGGCCAGTGTGAGCCTGACGGGAGGTCCAGAGTGCCCAGGCAGCTGAAGCTCTGCTTCCTCTCCCTGGCACATGGACTCCAAGCATTTCTCTACAATCTCCCCCCACGTTTCTTCCCTCCATGCCCCTTGGCCCACAGTTAGCTCTGTCCAGCCCTCTGGTGGCCCAGACCCAAAAGGAAACCCAAAAGCCAGTACCCGGCAGCGGGAGCCTAGCTTGGGTTTGTCCAAGCCATGACCACGAATTATAATCTTCTTGACAAAGCTTCCATCAGGACAGTACCAGAGATCAGAAGCTTGAAGGCCCTCTGTCACCTTACTGGTTGATCCATGAGACTTATCAGAGTCTCCTTCAAGTTCAGAGACAAGTTTTTCAGTTCCTTGAGTATTCTCTAGAATTTGGGTGACTGGATCTGGGCTCACTCCCAGATGAAGGGTTTCACTAGGAGGGTCCTGGAGCTGCTGCCTAATCTGAGTAGTTGAATCAAGGTTCTCCCAGGGCTTCTTTTCCCATTGCTGTGGTTGAGAGGTGTCCTTTTCTCCCATTGGACTGACTGGTGGTGTCTCCATTTGGCTGCTTGGTCCCTTCCACCGTGCGTGAACAGTGTTGGTCAGAAAGGGCTGAACCAGGTTCAGGTTAGCACCTGGAAAGAAAACCGAAACAATACTAATTGCAGAATTCCTATTTAGATTCCTTTCTCACCCTTCTGAGACCCAGGGCCCTGATCCTAAACGTCCCCAATTTTTTTTTTCCTCCAAAAACCTCTATCCTGCTCAAGCCTCCGATCCACTCAGACCTAATTTAAGACTATAAATTCCACAATTCCCTGCGGGTCGGGTAGCCAGCCCAAATACGGACACCCGGCCAGGTCCATAAGGACCTGGGCGGCTAAAGTACTGTACCTAGCCTGGTAGCAGGAGCCGGGCCATTCGGATCACCTCTCCTTCCAAACTAAGTGCTTACTGAATACAGCTCTCGGAGTCTCGCGCCAGGCGGAGGAGGCGGCCGAGGGGATGGGGCTAAAGTGGGGTGGGACCAAAGGGGGAGATGAAGGCCAAGGAGGGAGGCGGGCCAAGCGCAACGGGGAAAGACACTGACAACTAACCTGGCGCCCGCGAGACTGCGAATCTAGTAACATTCCTGGCAGCCAATCTGGAGGAGGGAAACGTCTGGTTAGCCCGCCCATTGGGCATGACATCACTTCCTCCGTAACCGTGGCACTCCAGGCCTTAGCAACCGAACTAGACCAAAGCAACCGAATTAGGTCGAATCGAGCCGAATTTGGCGAGGTCCGGCTGACCAGGTTGCTCATTTAGAATCAAAGTAGTGTCGTTTCAGAAACGGAAACTGGGCGAATGAGGGTAGAGGGGAGAATGGCGGGGGTGGTGATAAATGGCAGTGTCGGCAGCCTTGTATCTGGCGACCTCAGGCCCTCCTGTACGGCTGTTCATATGTTGGAACTCCCAGCAAAGGTCAACGCCGTTTGCTTCGTTCATTCAATCCGGGTGCTCCAAGATATTACCTCAGGACTCTTTCTAACCATTCCCTTCAGGTATCTTTCCTTTCCCTTCATAAGCTTCATGCTTTTCAAGTCCTCCTTCCTCAAGAAATCTTACTGCTTTTCAAACGTTAATGTACCTACATACCACCTGGGGAACTTGTTAAATTGCAGATTATGATTTAAGAAGTCTGGGATAAACCGGGCTCGGTGGCTCAGCCTATAATCCCGCGCCTTTGGGAGGCTGAGGTGAGTGGATTGCCTGAGCCCGCGGGTTCGAGAC